CAGGGAAACGACCTACGACGTCTCGGCCCGGACCACTACCGCTGCACTATTTCGCTTCATAACTCCGTTCGGAAAATCGTTTGGCAGATTTGGAAAGCAGATTCGAGATCAGCGTCCAAAAACGCATCCACCGGTGTAGGTCTCGTTACAATGGCCACTTCGACCAACCATCCGTTCCTGGTTAATTAGCGAAAAACCCGCTCGTGCATGGAATTCAAAGTGAACTGCATTGATCATGTGATTGACTTACCGCAGTTTCAAGGCGATGGAGCTGCTCGTGCATCGTCCAGTATACCTTCTCCTCCATTCTAAGATTACTCGTCTTCCAAAATGTTGTGTAAAAACGTGCTGTTTTGTATTTGTATTTTTGCAAGACGCTCGTCCGTAATCCATTTTTGATATCTTGGCGAGCAACCTTTTCGATCTCTATATCATACACCTGAAAAGAAATTTTCCGTTTTATTACTCGTAGTGGTGTTATATCGTTGCAAGCAAGTCCTTTGATTTCTAGAATCAGTCATTACCTGTTAAAACTATGCCTTTAAACGAGAACTTGGAAATCCCTAAAGAGATTCGATGAATAACCCATATATCCTGAATTAATCTTTTGAAGACGTTCAACTCAAAACTGGATTCCTGTTGAAATTGAAATTGAAATATTAGTGTTGCCTATGCAACGATTGGCGAGGGATATGGAATGTATTATTCTTCTCCTCACTTTTGTGTACTAACAACTGACGTAAGGTATAATGTTTGGATAGAGAAGGAGGGTAGAGAAGGGATCTCCACAATATACAGGGAGGCCAAAAAAAGAATCACTTTCCCTATGGCGCACATCATCAAATTTTTCGTCGCACAGGATGCCGTGTTAATGAATGTTTTACGGCAGAATATTCCTTAGGTGTCCCCCATAAGCAGAAGCAGCCCTCCTTCACTGCCCTCACCGTCTTCAGAATATGACGTCATCTGCCGTCACCGTCGAGCTCAACGAGGCTTACCGTAATCGCTCCGGCCTGAAGCTGCTACATAATTTCTTCAATCGATTAACTGGTGAATAGCTTCCCAGAGACACTAGCTGTGACTGTGCAAGACCGCTTTTGACCAGCGTTTCAGGGACGTCGTAATGGTCTATGGTACCTCGACGACCTCGTTGAGCTCGTACCGTGAACCATGTTTCCGTGGGAAAATCTTCTGATGTCGTCGGTGTAGAAGGCTGTCATGTAACTTTTTGATAGATTAGAATGTGCTCTTTAATATCAGTTGGGCTCATTTGATTTGGTTTCGCAGTTCGAGATTAATTTCGTTTTGAATGTGGAGAGAAGTGACTCTTTTTGCCCCGAATTGCTGGCGACACCAACGCCATTGCCTCACTTCTGTCATCTTGCATGCATTTTATATGCAAACGACCTACCAGATGCGTGCCGAGGTTGTCACCACATTCGCTCACTATTCTCCACATAACTGTTCTGCAGTCTGTTTCTACTCGAGCTTTGCCTTCTGGAAAGCGTTTCTGTTTTCATTACCGAGATGAGGTGAATCGCGTGCAATAGACGTGGTAAGAAGCGCAAAATAAGTGACGGACTCACCACCTGAGAGCGCACAGGCATTCTTTGGCGCCAACATTCCTCATCAGAAAGCAGAGTGCTGCGAGGACGAAAAGCATTTCGATCCATACTGAATTTCGACACATCGCACCCCTTTTTATGTGAAGCACTATGCACTCGAAGGCGTTCATACACCTATTTTTTTGTCCTGAATCCTCGTATGAAAGCCCTAAAAAGCTGTTTCTCAGCAGTCCTTTCACGGTGTTCACCTTTGGGCATCGTACATCTGCAACTCGTTCCTACACTTTGAAGGAGCTTGCCATCAGAAAATGGGAGGAAAACAGATCAGATCCTATCGCATTTTCTCTGCGAATTGAAGGCACCCAACGTTCGAAATTACATGGCAGGCTCAAGAGCTGCGCTGCAGTCAATCTTTTAACACGCAGATTTCGCAGGTGGTCACAGAGCTCAGGCTCCTCCACTTTCATTGGATCTGCATACAGTGCCATCCTCATTTTAGCTTTGTTGGTTTTTTTTTCGGGAAGTGAAACTTACCGAAACGTTTTTAGGAGTTAACGCAATTTCACATCTTGAATATTTTACCTCTCCTCCCAACTCCAACTGCATTACCTCCTTTTATTTACTGAAGGCATAGGACTTGTCTTTGTCATCAGCTCACCATCCTCTCGAGTTTCCCACTTAGCGACCCACATTAGTGTCTCTATTTGAAATAGGTTTTCTGGATGGAGTCTAAACACACCTGCGTAGCGTAGTCCTCACATACTGACTACAGAACTCGGACAAAGGCTCTCCGCGCTATTTCTGTGCGACTTCTAGCTTTATCACTGGTACATTTTGTAAGTTAGGACATGTTTGAGTGAGAGTCGGAGGTCTTCATCAGCCCGCTGTCTTCGTGTTTAGCACTCTCTCATGCGAGTAAGTTCTGTAAACTGCTATGCTCCTGGGTTACCCTCGTCAAACATTAGCCGGTTTACACTTTTTCCCAAGCTCTCTCTTGTCAGTCACGCGTGCTTCCTTAGGCACGTAATGAAAGAACACACAGGGCACCGTGGTTTATCAGTTACTGTTAAAAACCGTCTTTTCCATTCCCATCAACTCTCTTGAGTTTGCTCGAGGTTGCATCGGTGCCTCTACTCACATAACGATATTAATCATTATGCGCAACCAGTGGGAAACATTGGCAACAAGCTCTCACATACCCAGACCATTGTAAACATTCGCTCAAATTTGAGCAGTGACATTCCACGAAGTGCATTTGCATACTGTCGCCAGTTCAAGTAATGACTATGCTATTGCGAAATACACTCCGAATGTGACGCCATGTTTACTTTGAACAGGAATACTAGCGTTTTTCGTCGTCTAGCCATCCACATTCATTCGTATTGGATTCCTATCAACAATGTCCAGAAAGCATTTCCAAACATTTTCTGAGTGACAAACTCTTACGTAGTTTTTCAAATCCGCAGTCATCGGGTCCTGCGGATAGGACAACAAAATGAAGCAGCAGGAATTGTATCCCCTGAGTAGCAACGTTGTCTGGTCTTCGCTGGGTCTACTACTCTGCGGCAGGGTGAATATCGGTCGAGGAAATCCTCGACAGGGGGGTCGTACCTGTTGGGCTGGGTCATGGGGGGTCGTACTCTTGGGGGTCAGTAACATCAGTGGTATCGTGGTGCAGATAGGAGTAAGAGGGTGTAGCGCAGCAGAAAACGAAGATATGTGAAAAAACATGATATAAAATATTCTTTGCAGGTTCAGTCGCTCCTACCTTCATGAGAAGGGCGTATTTGAAAGCAGTACAAAGAATGAAAGTGCATCCCGCAAGGAACAGGGCCACATGTGCACACGCGCTGCAAAGGCACCTCCTCTATCTACCGCTCGCTCCTTCTCCCTTAATACCTCGCTGAGAATGACACTGTTGTTAGGGACGCTGTCGCAAAAACGACAACCGTGAAGGAAAGCCCTGGGCAAATGAAGCTGTTCCTCAGGCTATAGGAGTTACGAAATGTGTTTACTACAATGCAGCTTGGTCATGATCATATAACACCTTTCAATCGATTCTGCAACTTCGAGTGAAGGTCGGATGCATGGCCTATACCCAGACAAAATCGGATGATGACGATTGCCCCTTTTCTTATTGCTTATGTTGGAAGAATGTATTCTAGACACATTTCGAGCGTTGCCAACGAATTACACTTGCAATGGTGAAGAAGGGAGCGGCTTTTTGAGCGGCCGAGAATCATCCTCGATAGATCCTCGACGCAAATATCTCCTCAACTAAAATGTAGAAGGAAGCTAAACATACTGTTAGAAAGCGCAAACCTTCCGCTTTCCAAAACTGTCTTCGTTTTCCAAGATCTTGCGAAATTAGAGAGATATTGCCTTTTAAGTGGCAAAAACTCGCATGAAAATTTCAGCATCCTCGACGCTCCCTCGACGGATTTTGAGAGACTATATCTCTTCGAATGGAAGGCTTTCATAGCAATTCCAATACTGCCTGTAGCAAATCTAGCTCTATCTAACCCTACCGCGTGCTGTT